TCAGGCATGTTAATGATCACCCTCTATACATTTACTTTTTATGGTTAATATTAGATAGCTTGTTGAAAACCCTAAAGGAACTGATGCATATATGTTTGGGTTTGAACTCTCATTGGTAAAAATGAAGAGCTTGAGGCAGCTAAAGATGTTCTTTAGTAATATTGTTACCAGACTGAAGGGGTCCATTCACCTGGGAACATCAAGGCCCAATTAAATGCAAACAGATTCTGCAGCAAAGAAAGTATAAATTTATTAGTTGAGGGAATGGTACCAATCCCCAAGTCACAGGTAACCTACTGCGCAGACCTGGTTCCCCAATGGCTGCCATGGGGCGGGTTCTATAGGGAGAAAAGCATTAATCATGGCGGCTAAAGGATTTGGCTCCTGGGCTCTTGATTGGTTGGGCCCAGGGCAGAGAGTAGTTGATCTCTGTGTCAGATCCTGATGTCAGCCATGGCATTGTTGTTCTCTCTGCTCTTATGAGGGTGTGGTCCGTAGGGTCCCTTCATTTCCATGGGCTTGGGGCTGAAACACAACTGAAGTCAAGCTGTTTGTTCAGTTTGACCAAAACTTTGCTTCTGAGGTCAACAGACCTGAGACTTGGTTCTTAAGACAGTTTGATATGGACCGGAATCTGACATCCTAAGGACGTGACGATTAAGAAGTGGGTGGAGGGACAGGAAGGAGAAAGGGTCATAGTAAAGAAACAGAGTTTCTGTGAGGTTACAGTATGATAGGGCTGTAATCCATTCATTTGAAGCGATAGAAAAAGGATTACCATTTGGTAGTTAGTATATACAGATGGCATTAAAATAACTGCAAAGTCAAGAAGAGGGAAGGATAACGAAGTAGAGAATGGAAAGAAGTTAGAAGTCAAAGTAGGCAAAATGATGTGTTTGTCAGGTAGGGTGACCAGTTGTCCCAGCTTGCCAGGGACTTTTAGATGAAAAGTCTCACCTCCTGGCAACTTCAGTCCCAGGCAAACTGGAATGGCTGGTGATCCCTGTGGTCAGGTGGAGGACTTGGCATGGTTTATTGCTTTGTTCTCAAAAGTATACCAATGTCTAGCATGTGTTGTCTACTCAGACGAACTGAATGAAGAAAGACATATTGGCTGCTGCCATTTTTGTTGTTGTTGATATATCAGGGTTGCCTCTCTGCAGCGAGAAGTTAAAGATCACCGAGACCTTTTCATTAAAATAGGCAAAAGAGAATCGATGGCCCAATCTTTAGGATCCCTCTAGGCCAGTGGTCGGCAAATTCATTAGTCAACAGAGCCAAATATCAACAGTAGAATGATTGAAATTTCTTTTGAGAGCCAAATTTTTTAAACTTAAACTTCTTCTAATGCCACTTCTTCAAAATAGACTCTCCTAGGCCGTTGTATTTTGTGGAAGAGCCACACTCAAGGGGCCAAAGAGCTGCATGTGGCTCACGAGCCCCAATGTGCCGACTTCAGCTCGAGGCTGTGAATTGGAGGTCTGCAAGTTAGTGAGGAGATAATCAGAGCCAAGCAACAAGGATATTTCATTCAGACAGAAGCCAAGGGAACAGACATCCAAGGAAGAATTTGTTTATGGCAAACAAGTTGAAAAGTGACAAGTCCCGAAGAAAGACCCTGTTTGGTTTCTCAGACAGAAAGTCATGTGTAACCTTGGAGAAAGCAGTGTAAATGGTGGAATGTAAACCAGATTATGGGGGGTTTACGAAGCAGGTTAGAAAATGGTAACAATGGGTGTTTATTTAAGTCAGCAGCTGATTTAATTGGAAGAAAATGGAAAGAGGTTCCTCTAGAGCAGGGATTAACAAATTGTGCTCCACTAGCCAAGTCTGGCTTCTGGCCTGTTTTGTAAATAACATTTTATTGTAAAAACAGTCCCTCTCATTTAGCATATGCTCCGAGGCTGGTCACAACAGAGATTGTATGCCTCACAAAACCTAAAATATTTACTATCTGATCTTTTGTAGGGGAAAAAAAAAAAAAAAAAAGGCTGACCTCTTGCTGCAGATATTAAATAGAATGAAGGAATGAAGATAAGTTTGAGTTTTTTTAAGAGGAGATCAAAGGCTGTTTGTGGATGTATCCCGGAGTTGGAGAAAAAGGGGAGCATATGAGGTCTTATTTCTGTGCTAATAGGATACCTCAAACTTAGTGGTTTAAAACACCATTTATTACCAGGAATTTGGGAGTGTCTTCTAAGTGGTTCTCACTCCCGGTCCTTCTTGGGCTTTCGGAAGTGTCAGCCACCCTTGCAGTCAGGAGAGGGCGTGCCTGAGACTCTGGGAGATTTCCAAGCTCCCTCCCTTTGCTGTGGACTGGAGAGCTTGGTTCCCATCACATGGGCCTCTCGACGGGGCTGCTTCCTGTCCTCCCAGCATGGAAGCTCCCCCACAGCGGAGGGGGGGGGGGCAGAGAGCAAGGAAGAAGGGAGATGTCCTCTATGACCTTGCCTTGGAAGACACGCCTCATTTTTGCTATATTCTATTTGTGGCACAGACAAACCCTGATACAGTATGGGGTGGCAATGTGAATACCAGGAGGCAGGCAGGCATTGGGGTCTCCTTGGAAGCTGGCCACCTCCCGGGAGAGCAGTTGGCACTTCCGTGTTCCTGAGGGGAGGCTATGGAATGAAGAGCATTGGTATTGACAAGGAGGTAGGCACTAGAGTGAACAGATTGTGCAGAATCTGGGGCAGAGAGGGGGATTCACTCAACAAAACAATTGCCAGTGGTCATAAAAGATCATGATGCTCAGTTTGGTTAGAAGTAAGGTCTCAAGATTCTGCTAAGATTGGAAATCTTTGGGACAGGAATGAGATGGAGCAGAATAAAATCTCCAGGGGGTGGGATACAGTGATGATTCCATTACTGGATTATAAATTCCTTAAGGCTAAGTCTCATAGTTTATATACAAATAAGTCAATTTTACATATTTACTTATATTATAAATATATTTCATATCCTCCGTAGCATCTAATGTAGGGCCTTACCTGTTGGTATCTGATTGTTACTTGGCTTTCTTGTAATGTTATTATCTTACTACTTATTTCAATAAAATTGACAAAATTTGGCCTACTTGGCATGGCTCAGTGGTTGAGTGTAGGTCACGGTGCAATTCCAGCTCAGGGCACATGCCCAGGTTGTGGACTTGATCCCCAGTGGGGGTTGTACAGGAGGCAGCCAATCAATGATTCTCTCCCATCATTGATGTTTTTCTTTCTCTCCCTCACCCTTCCTCTCTATGAAATCAATAAAAAAATATTTTAAAAAACTTTTTGACAAAATTTGTATTCTGATTTTTAGGAGCAAGACATTGGATTCCCTCTCACTCCCTCAGGAGGGCTGTTGAAACGTCAGTGTGTAGAGCATTCTGCTCAGGCTGCTGCTTTGCATCCATTGGGGAATGAGCCTCTCCCTTTCTGGCTTGGAAATTGCAGGAGGTGTCAAGAGACCCAAATTGGGAACTTGAGGGGTCCCAGCAGTTCCTGCTGACAATCCGATTCTGGGGCTTCGCTGATTGTTCCATCTAGCAATGGAGGGGCAACATGTTGTTAATTAAATATGATTCACAGGGTGGAAATGGAAATGGAGAAAATGTTACCTAGAATATGGTTTTAGGGATTTTGCCCAGAGGTTTTGCATGCTGGTCAGGGATGGATCTCAGCTGGGTTCAGTGCCAGACTTTTTTTAAGGAAGTACATCCCCTGCACAAAAAAAAAATATGAAGATGGCCAGCGTGGACAGATGTGCGATCTATTTTTACATTTCTGTGGGAAGAAATGTCAGGAAGTCGTTTTGTATTTTGTGTGTGTTTTTTTGGTGGTGATTTTTTTAAAACTGAAATCTTTCAGGGCAATTTTATGCAGTTTTTTTCTTCCCGTGAACCATTTGTAGAAGTGATACAAGTTATTGTAGAATCACCCAGTTCTTTGTCACATGAACGGCTTCTGTTGGAAGGTACCCCTGCCTGCCCTGGATGTTACACATGTCCTCAGCAGCTGGCGTTAACAAGGAAGGACTTAATATACTAATTATGTCTTTTGATTCCTTGGTTTTGAATAACACTTTCCTGGGGGGTTAATTTTCACCTCTGGTTGATTGTTTTTCTTTTAAGATACCAGAACCTCTGAAGTGAGGCAGTGCAGATATTTTTTAGTACTTTCCTTTAAAAAAATATTTACGTAAGGTGCCTCGTTAGCGCAGTAGGTAGCACGTCAGTCTCATAAAAAAATATTTACGTGAAGGGAATGGGCAGAAGGGTGGGAAATACAGAAGGGACCTTTTCCAAAGTTCTTTTCCTGACATGGTATCCTGCCTGTGGCAGGAATACCTGAGGCCACCAGAGCTCACTACACAGCAGGTGGGCGCTGTGTGGGGCTCTGAGGGAGACCTGTGCCTGCTTGCACTGTGGTTGGGAAGATGGAATCAGCATCCTTAACATACTCAAGTGCTGAGGCAGTGTTAACAGGGAAATGTTCCAGGGGGAAAAAAACATCCGGTGAAGGGTCAACAAACTCAGTCTCATTTGGGTATGGTAAAGAAAACAGTAGTTTTTCTGTTCAAAAAATTATAATGGCCAGCATGGCTCAGTCTTTGTGTGAGCCAGATTGGAGGCATTGTGAGAATATTCCTCTAGAGTAGATATATTAATTTCAGGAAAAAAAATCTTATTTTATTGTCAGAGCCTTTCAGGGGGCACCACAAGATCTGCCAGGGGGAAATATGGACACAAATATATAAACTTTTCAATGAATACTTTCCTCTCAATATTACTGATTTCTCCACTTACTGTAAAAGAAAAAAGTACTGTGTTACAGGAGGTTGGAGATGTATATAGCATGCATCATAGTTAACTTCAAGGCATGTTGAAGGTGGGGACATTCATGATGGAGAATTGCCAAGGATAGTACTATTCTTGCTCTTGTTGCCTAGTCTCACGCACACCAGCGTCTCCCCGAGAACTGTGGGTTGCCATAACTAACCCAAATCTGTTTTTCCAGGTGCCCACTGATGGCAATGCTGGCCTGCTTGCAGAACCCCAGGTCGCCATGTTTTGCGGCAAACTGAACATGCACATGAATGTGCAGAATGGGAAGTGGGAGTCAGACCCATCGGGGACCAAGACCTGCATCGGCACCAAGGAGGGCATCCTGCAGTACTGCCAGGAGGTAAGTCCCGCCGGTAGCCACGCTGGACCACCTGCCTGTATTGTTTCTGACATTATACATTTGCATTTTATCTCTCCCAGTGAAAAATCTTTTTCCTGGGGATTTACCCTCCCTATGCATTAATATTTAAAAAAAAAATATGTCATATTCCGGCCACTAATAAACCAACTGAGTAAAATGTGAGATATCTCGGTATATTCTTTTATCTTTAGTATATCTCACTACGGATGCTCAAAGTATTGTGTGTAAGAGTGACTAAAATTACGTTTATTTATATTACTAACCTGATACATTTTAGTTCCTTTATTTCTGCTTGTGTTCAGTTTTCCCCTCCGTATTCATTTTGAAAATGGTTAGTGTTAAAACACTGAAACTATAAAACGTTATGCTCAGAAACATCATTTGCTGCCCATCTTCTATTGATTAATATTTTCATTCTTCCTGATTGATCCTTCTTGTAAAAGAGAATATTCTTTATTATTATTATTATTATTATTATTATTATTAAAAAGGGCAGCTTACTGAAAGCACTCTTCTGTCTGCACTTTGCTTTGTGGACTTGACTTTGCTAAGCTGAGAGGTCTTCATCCATCGGGATCTTTATCCCTTGTGCAATTCTTCCTCATCTCCTTGCTGTTATTGTTCAGGGTGCTCCTTTCTGATTAATTCAGTTTAAAATACCTGCGGTCCCAGGCCTGTTACTCCCCTTTCACTAGACACCTGCCTAATTTAGGATATGTGTGTTTTATAGCAATATATTCTTCTAATTTGTGCTACTCACTATTTTCCTCCCAATAGTGATGAGTAGATTTTTTTCTCTTCATGCTCATTCAGTGCCTCTATTTTAGAGACAGCTGGTTGAGTCAGAAAAGCAGCTGTTACTCCCCTTTCACTAGACACCTGCCTATTTTAGGATATGTGTGTTTTATAGCAATATATTCTTCTAATTTGGCAAATACAAGGTCAGTGGTTGTTGATCTCTGGGATAGCAGTTTCAGTGGAATAGAAGTCCAATTGCCATAGGAGACAGGAAGAATGCATGAAAGGATAGTGAAGACCTAGAAACCAAGGAAAAACCTAGAAACCAAGCAGTGGTTGAGTGCAGTTCACGGAAAGGGGGAAACACTTTGCTTTTTAAAGGGAAGGAACTTAAGTTAAAGGAAGCTTAAACCAAACTGTGGGAAGGATGGCTGTCCATCAAAAGAAAACTAGGCTCAGGTATCCAGGGAGAAATGGGATCCAGTGGATAGGTGATTGATTGGCTGAGTCTTGGAAAAGAGGAGGAAATCATGGGTTGATTAGCCAGCTTGTGTTTGCCAGAAGATGGATGCTCACTCAACATCTTATACACAGAGAATAGTTCCTACAGCAGCTGGGAAGGATCTTGGGATGGGGGATAGCTTAGAGAATTTTAATGAAGACATCCAGAAGCTGGTTCCTCAGATGTTAGAACTGAGACTCAGTGCTGCCTGGGATTTCTCTCTTGGGGTCTCTCTTGTTTTCTGCTTGTCCTTGTACCCGTACATTTGTTCACCTGCTGCAGAGATGAGCTTTCTCAAGGAGGCCAGGCAAGGTGGCAGTCAGGAGCTCGGGCAGGCTGCCATCCACGCTGGGCTTCTCAACTGCATTATGTGCATTATCATTCCAAGGAGGGTTTCTGGCTGGCCCTGCCTTGGGTCATACATCTACCTACCTTTGGCATCAGTCCTGGTACTGGCCTGTGTTGCCTATTGGACAGCTAGACCTGAGCCACATGGTGTGGGGAGAGGGGGAACTTTTGCCAGGAAGTGGATGAAGATGGCATGGGACAACATAAAAAGATGACCGCAGTCAATACAGTGAGCTTAAAAACACACAGCGTGTTAGAAAAGGGTTACAAGTTGGAGAGTGGGTAGCTGAGGACATGTATGGTGACTCCTTATTTTAACCAGCTTTGGGGAAGTATGTGTGTGAGGAAGGAGAGGGGATAGATGTTTACTCAGAATTTTTAAACAGTGTTTGACATTTTTTTTGTTGAATGGTGCATCCTGAACTACCTAGAACATTTCTTATTGATATGTTAGGCTCTTCCTCCCACTTCCCACACTATAGGCATTCTGATATTTTTCTTTTATAATTAGAGATAATGAATACTTTTTGTTTATAAGATTGAATTTTATGTGTGTAATTGGAAAATGTTTATGTTCTTTTATTATTATTTTTTTAACCCCATGTTTTATTTTAAACAGTATTGATTGATTCCCTAATAGCATAGCCACATCTAAGTTGCACAAATTTCCTACCTCTTCTTCAGACAGGTTTTTAAAATTAATATTACTTTCATATTTTCAATGTTGTAATATTATAATTCATTCTCTTGGCATAAATTCCCAAGAGATAGGAATAAGTTTTGTCTTTAACTGGGTTTATCGTTTACAACCAAAGCATTTTTATTCCTATATTATTTATTTTTATTCCTCTTCTGTTTTTGATGTCTGCATCTTAGTTATTTCTAGAAGTTGCATTTTATCTCAAGTTTAGCTCTGACCCAGCATTCACTAGTAGTCATTTTAAAGTAATTTTTATTGAAGAATGGTTTAATTGGATATAGAATTCCAGACGGATGAGCATTTTTGCACCATGAAGATATTTTCAACTTCTTCTGTCATCTATCATTTGCACATTCTTTCTAGAAAATGTACAGAAACCATGACTATTTATTACCATTTACAGTGCTATTCACTATTTTCCTCCCAATAGTGATGAGTAGATTTTTTTCTCTTCATGCTCATTCAGTGCCTCTATTTTAGAGACAGCTGGTTGAGTCAGAAAAGCAGCTGTTATTAGCCTGTAGACCTAGGACAAAAGAAACCAATTGAACTCATGACCGTGAACTCATTTTGACCTTTTGCTAACTAGTGTAACTCTCGGTTAAATTTGTTTTTTCAAAAGGATTGCCCACATAAGCTGCACATTCTATTTGTTGATGCTTCACTTGATATGATGTGCCAAATATTATTTTGATGAATTATCTGGTCTATCTTTGCAGCATCATGTGCTTCTCAATTTGTGTTCCTTGCTGTTGTTTTTATGAATATTGTCAATTTGGCCCCCTGATTTCTCTTGTGCTATCATGAGTCAAGGTCAAAATTAGGGAGAAAAATCGAGTGTTTTCCCTTGGTTCCTGGTTGTAAACCCATACAAAGTTTTATTGAGAAGACAGTTCCAAACTTAGGGTTTAAATGGAGTATTTGTTTATCTGCATTTTACTTCAAATCCTCCAAATTCCAGGTGCTTTGTGTTTTCCCTCCCTCTTCCCTCCCAGTAATAAGGTATACTTATGCCCAGTCTCATTCAGATATTTGCCTTTCTTTGTATTTTTCTCTTTTATATTAGCATGGTCAGCACCATTTTAGAACTTTCTTTTGTATAGTTATCAAATATATATTGAGGATTGCTATTGACTGAATGCTTGTGACCTCTCTCCCCCACCTCCCCTTGCCTTGTTCTTATATGGAAACCCTAACTCTAACATGATGGTATTTAGAGGTGGAGCTTTTGGGTTAGGTGAGGTCATGAAGGTGGGGCCCTTATGAAGGGGATTAGTGCCCTTATGAAAAGGGGCATTAGACTTTCAGAGAATTTGCTCTGTCTTCTGTCTCCCTGCTCACACAATGAGTTAATGTGAGGACCCAGGAGAAAGCGGCCATCTACCTGCAAGTCAGGAAGAGAGCTCTCACCAGAACCTGGGGAGATGCTGGCACTGTGACCTCAGACTTTTTCCTCCAGGATTAGAAGAAAATAAAATTCTGTTGCTTAAGCCACCCAGCGTGTGGTAATTTATTATGGCATCTGGAGCTTCACTAGGACTTGTCATGGTTTCTGTGGGCAAAAGGGATACAGACCCAATGTGTCGCTGAGAATAACTGTTTCTAGAGGTCATGTCTAAGAAAGCATTTTATCTGAAACAGCTCTGACCCAGCACCCACTAGTAGTCATTCACTTAGAAAGTGCTAGTGGATGGCCTTGTTGGCCTGGGGATTGCAGCAGAATGGGCCCTGAGAGAGCCTCCCCTCAAATGGAACCATGGCTTCCTTTTGCAGGGACTATTTCTTCCCACTGATGGAATTCTAAACAGATTTTTAGGCGAGAGTTGGAGGAATGTTGGCCCATAGTCCAGATTTGCCCTCAGTTTATGTTTACCTACTTAAGATGTAAGTGCTATGATACACACAGAATAGTAGAGTGATAAACATGTACATGACTAAATATTCTGCTAAATATACTATATACTGAAAGCCTAATATGCAAATTGTCCCCTCCACCAGAACCAGGGTGTAGAGCTGGCCAGCCAACTGCGGGAAGGGAGGCTCCATTCAGCAGCCAATAGCATGTGGGGGGTCGGGGAAGGTGTATGTGGGGGGTCCCAATTGACAGCTGTTAGGGACCCTACCCATGCACAAATTTTATGCCTCTAGTACTAAATAATCACCAAGTATGCTTTCTGAAAGTATTAAGCAAGCCCTAGATTGTACTTATATGACCCTATAGTAATAGATTCCATTGTGGGCTGTTGATGAATTATGCCTTCATCAGCTACCCTCTTGGTTGAACCCGAGATTTGCTTTAACCAGTAGGATGGAGTTGAGGTGACACTAGTTCAGTTCTGGGTCTAAGCCTTAAAATGTTCTAGGAGCTTCTCTTTTCATGCTCTTGAAAGGCAGGAATATTGCCCAAATGGAAGAGAATGGAGCCTCCCATCCATAGCCCTACCTAAGCTCCCAGCCAGCTGCCCACACCATACACCTGGGCAGAGCCAGGTGGGACCTTGCAGCCTTCCTTGTAGCTCTCTGGCTGACAGCACCAGGGAAAGAAGAATTGCCCAGTCAACCTACAGCACTGTGAGAAATTGTACAGTATTATGTAGTTGCTAGCTTTCAAGATGACTCCCAACAATCCTTGCCTCCCTCCCATTATTCATGCCCACGTGTGGTCTCCTTTCACACTGTGCGGGGCTGACA